ACTTGGACACTTCCTCAATTCAATTTTTCCTTACTGTCTTCCATTACTATAACTGATTAGGTCTCTTGAATTTCTTTGGGTCAGACCTACCAATTTAGGAAATTATAGAAAGAGAAAAACTGTTTTTTTCAAGTGATGAATATGCTAATTTTATGTTCCTCCTCTTTTTCATAAGCTGTTCTCTTCCATAAGATAGCATCATGTATATTTGGAAAAGCTTGCAACTCGTGCTGCCCATTTATATTTCAAATCAAATTTAATAGTAGCATTCTGGCTTTAATTAAGCTATTCTTATAAAGCTCAGCAAGGTGATCTGGTTACTAGAGGAAACGAGCACCCAACAGTGTTCATTTAATGATAATAAACAGATGAAACACGGTATAATAATCTCTAATAATCTATGGAGATGAAGACACAGCGCCCCCTACATCTGTGTCTGCATGTATGAATGTGTGCTCAGAACATTCATCCTTCAATAAGTTTTCTTTGTTGGAAGAGTTGAAAATCTCTTTGGTAAATTCAGTCTTTTTTTTTGGAGTTGGAGTCTCACTCTGTTGCCCAGGCTGGAGTGCAGGGGCATGCTCACGGCCACCACAGTCTCGACCTGCTGAGTTCAGGCGATCCTTCCACCTCAGCCTTCCATGTATCTGGAACTACAGGCACGCGCCACCATGCCAGGCTAATTTTTGATTTATTGTAAAGACAAGATCTCGCCAAGTTGCCCAGGCTGGTCTTGAACACCTGTCCTCAGGCAATCCCCTCACCTCTGCCTCCCAAAGTGCTGGGATTACAGGCTTGAGCCACTGTGCCCAGCTGCTAGCTCAGTCTTGAACAGTTAGACCATTGGTTATCGCTGGATTTCTCTAACACAACTAGTTTGGCATTAAGAGCTTGACTCTTTTAGTTTTGTAGTAAATGAAGGTGCATTACTTTTTTTTGAAGGGTTATTTGTATTTCCTCCTCTTCCCTTATCTTCCTACTTTGTGGGTGATAGTGTTGCAAAAGCTGTATACATTTGGCTCAGTAGTTAATTAGTGAGAGCTTGACGTTCCTCATATGACTGCTTTGAAAAAGAGAGCCTTCTTTAGGAATAGAAACTTAAAAAAATATAGGCCAGTTAATCTTTGTATGAGGCAAGCTCAAACAAAAATATTACCAGTTGGATCTACAAAAGTTCCTCAACCTCTCATCTGTCTTAAAAAAAAATGGAGAAAACAAAATAAAAATAAAAGAAAATCAAGCCCAGCCCTGCATTTCTATATTTCTTCTCTAATATTATTAGAACAGTGTCACAACTGGGTGCCGTGTGTGTGTGTGTGTGTGTGTGTGTGTGTGTGTGTGTTCTGCACCTCACCTATTACCATAATGTTCTTTAGTTCTTGTATTTAGAATTGTTATTTTAAAAAAATGTAAACCTGAAAAGGTTTGACTATCTACATTTTCACTTTTTTGTGAAGCGAGTAAGGTGGACTCAGTAGCCATTGACTAGGCTGAAACACTATTAAAAATGCAGTTCAGACTGAGTCACTGCTTGTTATTTTTACAAGCAAGACCCTAATTCTGATGGACCCCAAAGAATAGGCAGCCATGACTAAGCAAGCAGCACAAGGCAACTGGATTCCGCTGGATGTTATCTCGTTTGAAACACATTTCAAACTTTAGAACAGATTTTTAAATTGGAAGTTGAAGCCTGCAGACTGTCAGCAGAAGAGGCTGATTCACTCTACAGAACTTATCTTACTCCAAGTTCCAAGCAGAATATTTTAAGGAGTAGGTTACCTAAAATGTGCTGTGATACATCAAGGAAAGAAATAAAAAATAAAAATTGGAAAAACATGGCACATACATCTAAACATCTCTTGGACTTTTGACATATGCTTATTTGAATGGGAACGTCTTTGAATTAGATGCCTTTAGCTTAATAAAATTGGTGAATATTCATGGATCTCTGAAGTGGTAATTAAAAAAATTTATGCAAATATTTCTTTATTGGTGGGGGTTCTTCTAGTAGAACTCTTGGAGTTCTAACTATAATGTCATTATTACTGGTGGATAAATTAGAATGAAGGATAAAGAGTCTTGGCAAAGTCAAAAATAAGAAAATCCATATTACACTGATGATGAGAAATTCTTTATTAATTGACTGTTTCTTTCATTTGAAATAGAACAGTTACTAAAAGTCTAGATACCCAGAAAACTATAAAATTACCTGTAAATCTCTTAAATTAGAGGAATCATAGAAATAATTGCAATAATAATGATTTTGACCTGTTACAAATATCAAGATAGTGCTTGAAGAATACTAACTTGTCTGCAGAAAAAGCTCTTGTGCCTTTATTATCTTAGACAACAAAATCCATGCTGCAACTGAACTCCAGGGAGAAATGCATGGAGTGACCCACTAGAGGTCCCTTCCAACTACAAAAAGTTTCAATAGTTCAAAGGATGTAGCCTTCGAAAATTGGCATTCATGACTGCAAAGCAACGAGGGGCCAGAAGGGGGGACCACAATTTTCAATTCCTTGGAAAGATACCTGATTTTACTGAGAACATGTGTCACATTTTCTCTCTCTTTTTAAAAATTCCCTATGTGGGACACTCGCTCAATTAGCCCTAATTAAATATTCAGAACCTGTTTTTGGAACTTATTGATACAATAACAAAGCGTCATTTAATGCCCTGTGACAGTAGCTGTGCTTTCTAGAAATTGGAGCTGTTTTCTAGTGTCTCAAGCAGTATTTTGCAAGATAATTTTTTTCTTCAAAAGGAAGAGTGCCTCAGTAAGTTTTTCCTTGCAAAGCTGATGGAAGTGGTGGGTGGAGGAGGTAGGGTACATGCTACTTGGTAGAAAATGATTTTGTTTCCATATATTATCTTTGCAGAGTTAGCATAGTGAAATGTAATTGCAATAAATTGGTGTAAAAGCCAGATAGTAAAGGGACTAAAAGTCCCTATAGAGACACCAGACTGTCACTTTCTTGTAATGGCAGCAAAAGATAATTGTAGACAAATACAGTAGAACTAAACCGTTACCATTTTCCTTCAAAAATGGGGGGCTGGTCTCAGTTTTTCCAAGTAAATTGGTTACTTCCTCTGCCTCAGGAGTGTGGCATGAACCACCAAATTAGGTGGGAAAATATCTGCTTTTCATTTTCTCCCAATACTTTTTTAATTAGAACACACCAAAGAGCAAAAAGGAATGAGAAACAAGCCTAGTTGATTGTATTTTCCAGTCAACTGTTGGATTTCTTTTAAGTTTCTGAGGCTGAATTGAAAATCTGGCCTCTGGCATAAACTTTGCCCTCCTCTCTATGACATAATGAAGACATCTGCTCGATCATATCCGCTTTCTTCACACAACTGGTTTTCCGGCTCTCTCAAACAGCAAACATAGAGCCAGGCAAGTGCTCTTACACAAAGGAGGATGCTCAAGCTAAACTAGAAGAGATTTTTTTCTTTTTCTTTTTTTTCCCCCTCTCACAAAGTGGAATCCTAAGGGTGTTCCTTTTCAGGTAAAGCTGTCAGCAGGAAAAGAAAGAAAATAAGCAACTCTTGGCACTGTTCATATAAGCATATTTATCACTCCTTCTTGGAAGAGTTGTGCATTAACTAGGTATATCCCGGGGTTTCTTTCCTAACACAGGGAGGAGTTTGCACCCCCTGAATAATTAGCAACTCAGGAAGCCCATATTCTGGTCTCACCCTCCAGAACAACCATAGATGTATACAACAGCCACTCCTGCAACATTCTTGCAGGAAAAACCTCTTCCTTTCCACACTATGTGCTTCAGCTAGTGAAGGTAAAGATTGGCGAAGACAGGATCTGATATACTCTGTATACCATTATAATTAAAATGCCCTTAAAAAAAGAGTGGGAGAGAAAAATGGGTGGCCATTCCTGAGGATTAAACTTCTTGGTTCTTGAATGTCCTCAGTAGTAGTTAACTCGGGACCAGCCAGCTCCTTGCACGAGCAAAGACCTGCATTTAACTCCCCATAAAATATGGATTTTATTGCAGCAGTGACAACACTTCTCAGCACCACGCCGACCTCTCCAGCGTCTCCAGTCTCGAGATCTACGGTAACTTGGCAGGAGAATCTCTAACTACAGAAGAAGTGATCCCAGCTCTGCAACGGCTGCCGTCCACAACATTGCGGCGTCCCCTTTTATTAAATCCCGGGATGAACGCATTGGGGGCTCCCCTTTTCCTGCATCTGACACCCCAAGCCAGGCGCACTCGGTCTGCTCTCCACCCAACCGGGGGAAGGCGTTATTATCCCCCAGACTTGAGCCCGGCCAGCCGTGGAAGAGCACGAGCGAGCTGCGCCTTCCACATGACTTTTCCCTGGACAGTGTGCTCCATTTTCAGAGTCCAATGTTGGACTTTCCTTGCAACCTAAGCATTTCTGTCCTAGATGAGCCGGCAGGCGTAGCCTGGGACGTGCAAGCTAACAGTTTTCTTGAGCTCTTTCTCTCAGCCAAATCGTCTCTTTAGTTTAAGTTTTCCTTATTGGGAGCGTTCCAGAGTTTTCAGACTACCCGGTTTTCTGCTTTTACCCCCCCCCAAAGCCAAGAACTACAACTCAGCCCCCAAGCAGTCACCGCACAGACCCTTGCGATGTGGGCCGGTGGACATAAATCAAGTCCCACACGGCTCGGCGGCTCCTGCACGCACCCGCGGCGCCCTTGGTCATTGACCAGCCAACTTTGCAAATGCCGGAGCTCGCGGGGCAGCCTCCGCCTGCTCAGAGAATGGCAGCGGGCTCTTCCCCGGTGGCCAC